GCGGCTCCATATTTACGGTCCACCTTTCTGTTGAAGGCCGGGTTTCTGGATTGGGGTTAGCAGGTGGCCAGCTGAATTGTTGTTCGAAGTACTGTGCCCAGCGATACAAACGTTCTGCTTTACTGCATTTCAGGGAGCCATTTTCGTCCCTGATTGCTTCACTGACAACAAGTTTCCGAGGACCAGTCGAACGAATCAAGTGGAACAATTTGCGCACGTTTCCAGCATTCTTCGCATCTTCCATTTCTTCGACCTTTCGGGTCCACCAAGCTTCTCGGTCTGCGCGGACACTCAGTTTCACCTGGTGTCGGATGATGCGCCGGGTGGAGTTGTGGTGGCGACCAGGTGGGATCTGTCGCCGGGCCTCCAGAAAAGACACGGTTCTATCAGAGATTGAATGCTTGGATGAGGTTGGCTGGGTTGTACCGCAAGCAGACGCTCCTGCTTTGAGTAACGCGTTGGATATTTTTTCCCAGTGGCCGTTTATATCCGACACCGTACCGTCCGGCAGGCATTCGAGGAGCTGTTTCTGATAGTTTCGTTTGGTTTGTGGGTCAACTAGCTTCTCAATGGCTAAGCGAGGTGTGCGCGATTCGCGTACACCTGAAAAGCGCAATGAAAAGCAGCAGCGTACAAGTGCATGGTCGGAGTCCACGCTGGTGTTCCAGAAGAAGCGGCAGGCGGTGATCGACCCTCGCCACCGATAACTGACGGCGGTGTGGTCTATTTGGATTCGGCGCTAATTTAATGGTGCGCACCACGTTGTCAAGCGATTTATGCCACTCTATAAAAATCGCGTGGACAAATTTCGTGGTCTCCGAAATGAAGTCGATTCACTCTACAAGCAAACAATAACCTATAAGAAACAAGACTAAAAGAGACACTGGAAATGTGCTGGAATATTTATAGCTCGAATGCTTTCACTGGTGGTCAATCGGGTGACCATTGATCTCTTCACTGAAGTTGCCAGTTAGAATGCAAGCCTTTCGTCACCAACCAAGCTGATATCGTCAATGCGTTGTTGGGTGCAGAACTGGTGCTGAGTCGTCTGAGGGTCGTATACGGCAGTGTCTGGATAATAAAGGTGTCGTAACCTCGATTACTGTGGATGGTTGAATGGAGTTTCGGAAAAGGAACAAACGCTAATCGACAAAGTGTCAAGAGTGTGTGCCAAAGCATCCTGTTGGCCGACTTGCTTCAGAGTTCGCACGTTAAAAGCCATGATAAAGACAGGAGAACGAGATCTGCGAAGCAGCAGAGGTGAGCGGCGGTAAGTTATTGGCCTCCACTTTAGATGCAAGACTGATGGGCTTGCGACTAACATCTTGCTCAGTAAGTGGGACAAGGATTTAAACGGTACAACCGTAAAGGGATGAAAGTTGTGAGCAGTAGCCTGTTTCCGTTTAGCGTCCAGTCGTATGCAGAAAGTAGGTCAACCCGTTTGATTGTACCAATTGACGGCTGACAAGGCACGAAATTATTAGCATTCGTACAACTCATGTTTGCATTTAGGCTAAGCTATTGTCAGGGTGCCCAAACCTAGTCAAGAAGACGGGTACAGCCTTCAGACAATGCTTTTTTCACAAAAGCTTGACAGCAAGACAGCTGTGGTTGGCGCGAAACTACCAGAGCACTGGAACGTTTAAGGGACAAGTCGTCATACATGTTCCAACCCCCAACCTGGAGGGCCAGGAGACTGTTCGTCAGACCTCTAACCATTGACCAACCTGGTATGAGAGACTCTGCGAGTGTCGCGCGGACACCCCCTAGTATAGCTCAGTGTGTCTCCGAGGTACACAAACCGCCACACAACGGTAAGGTCCAGTCTCTTCGTGACGGTTGGCTGTGGGACTTGGCCAGTTCATTCAGAGGAATCAAAACGTCTTCATGTCGCTGACAACCGTTGTATCAGAATCACAGCTCGTGTGGGTTGGTGTCAGCAAACCTGTAATGAGGCAATTGAAAAGCGAGCGTTCAGTCGTGCAAGAGGGACTTTCATTGAAGAATGTGTCCGGAACAGAAGTTGTGTTGGTTAGGCCATGTACTGTGTATGCCGAACCATCGCTTGCAGAAGAGAGTGCTGATTTCCGTAACCAAATGCGAGTGACACAAGAAATGAGGTGGCCAACCCAACACCGAAAGTCTTTTGATGTCCCCGGCGTGTAGTAGTCACGTCTGTGACCCGTATAGCAATATGGATCCCACATCAGCACTGTGAACTCGACCCTAGACGGATAAACTGATGTCGCGCCTGCACCGCAGGTGACACGTCCACAAGAGCTGCTCTGGTCATCCCAGTCCGCATGGAAATATCATCTTTCGCGAGACCACCGGGACTGATGCAGCTACCCAAGTGGAAAAACTTGTTACTACCTAAAGGGGCTCATCCGCAAGCATGAGACTAGGGTTCTAGCCTACCGGGGGCGAGATGGCCCAAGTGAAAAGAGCGCGAATTTACTGACCGGAAGGTCCGTGGTTCGAATCCGACCTCCGCCTCTCGACTTCCCCTGTCTAGGTTTGGGCAACATGACAGTATCCCAACATTCATGCTTCCTTCGGGTGGCATGGCAGCTAGGCACCGAAAGGGTGCTACAGCTAAACGCTGCCCCCCTCTAGCCTACCCAGTCTTGCAGTAGCACTTTAAAACTTGCAGGTGTGAAGCACACACCAAACCTTGAGGTAGAGTTATTTAGAATATTTAGTATTGCTTGCATTACCACGGCATCAGATTCTAGAAAAGCTATGTCATCTGCGTACTCAATATCTGTGATTGGACGTCCCGGAAGCACTTCGACCCCACAGTCATTAGAGGTTGATAGTGAATCTTCCATGCTCGTAGCAATGACAAAGTTGAAGAGGAAAGGTGGAAAGGACAGCCCTATCTGACACCACTTGATGTGGTGAACTCAGAAGTGAGGTTCCCGTAGACCTTTACGTGGCCGCGGGAGTTGGCGTACAGCGCCTTAAGAGAGGTCAATAATTCTGAAGCGACACCTTTGCTCCATTGACGCTTCCATTGTGCCTGACGGTCTACAGGGTCAAAGGCAGCTCTCAAATAGGGAACACAAACATCCTTGGTTGTTAGAAACAGTGTCGTTGTTCCAGAATCCGTCGCAGGGTGATGATTTGACCGATGTATACAATTGCAGCACGGAACCGAGATTGGTTTCGGCGGATCTACCTCTCTGTGTTCAGCCAACCTTCGAAGGATAAGACCAGAGAGGACGTTCGACGTCACAACTACTAAGGTGATATCACGGTGGATTCCACACAGCGTCCGCGTACCCCATTTGAAGATAAGAACAGCTGTCGACACGCCCCATTCTGTAGGCACTTTCTCTTTGTTCCCAATAGCACCAAAAAGCTTCGTCAGATGAGTCACCAGGGATTTCCCGCAGTCTTTAAAGAGAACTAGATACAGACCGTCCGGTACTGGTGCCTTTTCAGGTTTCAGTAAGGAAATTTCATTTTTTATTTCTCCTTCCGACGAGCGATTAAGGTTTACATTCCGTTCGCGGTATGCACTGTCTCCACAGGTTGGGTTGAAGGAAGCCAGCTAAACTGTTCTTCGAAATGTTCGGCCCATCTTTCCAGTCGACGTATTTGCGAGTGAATTAATGAGCCACCTTTTTCACTCGTCGCTTCACTGACCGCAGCTCTCCTGGGCCCAATCGATCGTATCAGTTAGCATAGGGCACGGCTGTTTCCGATAGCAAAACCCTTCTCCATCTACCGAGCTTTCGATGTCCACCAGAATTTTCGGTCCTTCCTTACACTCTTCACGATTTGGCGTTTGAGAGATTTGCGCGCGCTTGTTGCCTGCTGGTATGGATCTCCTGGCATCAATCATGGATAGCGATCCCGACGAAATCCAGTGGTCGAATCGGAGAAGTCGGACAGACAGCACTGAACGCCGCTAACATAGCTCTATTCACATTGTGCAACGTTTCATCCACATGCGCACCGCCAGTACAGTATTGGTTTACTGCGGAGAGTTGTTGAACTAGCTCAGATTGATGTTGTTGAGCTATGGTAGTTCTTCGAGGATGGTGGATGGGCACAGGGGTATGAAAGAGACAGGGAAACGTTTCAGAACTGTCGATGCTACTCGCCTTCCAGGATGTGAACCGCGCGATCCTCAATGCTCCTGGGTGGAGGCGTTGCATGACATGTTCTTGTTGTCAGTATCTTTCCCAATCACCTCAATGAGCGTCTGAACGTGTAGGCGTTTCAAGACTATTGCGATTGGGTCAACGAAGTTTCATCCCCGTCCACTTTTATTCCTTTCTTCACGATAGAACTTTCAAGTAAATCATGGTGTTACGGCAGCGAGGCATCAGTGCTGAACACTGATGTTGTGCACTCGATGATACTAACCAACGTGGTACCAGTACGGGCTGCCATACTCTTCACCAAAGACAGGGGAAACGGTGAGGGGACAGTTGCGCACTGATAGAGGCGGTGACCTCAATCGGATCACCTTAAAATTTCTGATAATGGCCTTACTGCTCGATGACGTTCAACAGGCGTTCAACAGTGAGGCATCGGGTTTTGTAAGCCAGATAGTGAACAGCTTTTGGTACAAGAGAGAGCACCATATTCATTGAGGATGATGGAAAAGATATTTAGGCATTGCTTATAACAGTACATGGAAATCAAAACGAGCAGTAGTGAGGTAACCAGCCCAACGAGACTGCCGGAGGGGGGTTATCATCCAATCGCATTAGGGTCATAAAACGGAAAGCTTAAGGTGTATTAGACACTAAGAACTGCGACGACAGTATCGTTCGACCTAAACTCATCCCAAATTTGCTAATTCTCCCCATGCTGTCATGTTAGCGACGGTGATGCTAACTTTGGCGAGACCCGAACCATACAATTCTTATGCGAAATTATAAAAGATGGACCTGAGTGTAAACTCTACTTAATTGCTTGATTGAGTCCTAGTCCGTGATGCGTATGAGTCGATGAAAAAGATAGGATGGTGACGCGAAAAAAAGAAACAGAAGTCTTCTCACCCACATGCGAGTCCATTTGACGATACGAGGCAACGCCAAATACGACTATTTCCTCCTTTTCCAATGAAGGTAGGGTAAAGTAGACAGCATCTGTGGAAATTGGCCAGGGTAAATTTTCGTGATATACCTTTCAGGTAATTGTGTGCCCCATCTGGAAGGGCCAAAGAAGCTAAATGCCTCCATTTATCAGGCAAGGAATGCGGTGGCCCCTCTGTCAGGTGATCATCGGATCCACGGGCCAATGGTGGATAAGCAAGTTCAACCTGGTGTGGTTATTAACACGGCCACTGGAACTTACGACGGCACCATGCCTATGATGGAAGCCAACAGTGACTAGGTGTAGGATGCAGTCAGAATTTGGCATCACATTTGACGCAATAAGTTGGTTCGTTGGTGCGTCAAAACAGTTACACTTCGTTCCTGTTTAGCTACAACGAAAAAATCACACAAAAAATTCATCAGAACTCGTAGTGAAATTAATTGAATCATGATAAACATAAACTGAGCTCCATATGTCTTAGTGGTTAAGATCCGTGATTCCAATCCAACCTCAGCAACTCGATCGTTCCTGTCTAGGCTTCGGCAACCTTGCAGTATCCCGGCCCCCATGCTTCCTTCAGATGACATGACAGCTAGATACCGCAAGGGTGTTATAGTTGGACGATTATTAGTTATAGGTGAACATCTTATTCCATCCTAGACTGCTGTTAATCGCAACAAGACTGTGAACTGCATGATCAGCTGAGTGCTTATTAAATGGCAATCTCTTCACAAAACACACCGGATACAAGCAAATTCCTAGACTCGTTGCCACCTGAAACAAACCGAATTGACCAAACATGTAGGTTTCAGTTACACAACGGCATACAGTCGATTGGCGTGCTTCCTCCTTGGAAATAAAGATACTTTTCTGCCCGGAACAACCGACCGACTTCATAAGGACTTCCACACCAACGCTCCTAACAAAATAGAATTCTATTAAGGCGATATCTATGAACGTGGTGATTTTAAAGAATTCATTTCATGAATCAGTCAATTTTTAAGATAAGGGTTGATTGCGCGTAAAACCTCTGAGTGAAACAAGGTTTTACAAAGAAATCCCAAGCAAAAAACGCCGTGCATGCAACTGAACACATCCTATAAGCTAAGGAGGCAAAATTGGGTGGGTACGCCCCAGCATGAATTCTTTGAACCCCACCTACCAGACTACAGCTCAAAAATTAATGTTCAAGACTGATCAAGATGAGGGGTGCAGAAGCTACCTCATTGAATCACCACGGCTGCATTGATATACTTCAATACAGTTTTTAGTCAATGGTCAGGTGGCATAGACGTCACTGACGGAACCCAGCAAAAGCCAAACACAAGTGTCCCAGTTACAGAGGCTCCTTGATACTGTTCCTATAGGAAAGCCCATATATAATCTACCAACTTTCATGTTTAAAACAAACCCACAGCACTGAGGCATGGTCGATTGCATCTAGCACCCAGAAACAGCAGCCGCTGCAGAGCTGAATGCCATAAACTAACTGTTATACGCCCTACAAAATAACCCATTCGGAGAAATAGACCACAAAGATCAACAACCCTATTGGAAATCGGTGGTCACATTCGATCCACCATTGGCCCAAACTACTTCCCACGGAAAAACAATTCAATGCCAACCGAAATTTAGTTGAATTTATCAGCTACAAACCATGTACAATAAGGGCATTACTTTCAACTGCTACCGTTTCGATCACCGTCAAGCGGGAAAGTGAAGGAGATAAAGCCAAGCCGTCTAAGTGATGGCATGTTCATCTAGCTAGGGAATTGGATAACCACGTATCGAAGATGATAGCTTTGGCTCACGAGTGTCACTGGTCGCGCGATTGAGCCACTTCTGCCAGCGTCGTTAACCGCCAATGAGTTGAGTCCCTGGGCCTCCATCCAGGCGGGTGGCAGTTGTCGACCCAACTAAGTTTACTCGTTAGTGTTCTCGTACTTCGTTGTCAGGTCATACAATGCCCATCTATCGGTTTCTTCCACTCAGCACAGAGCTGGGCGAAAAAGCTCCGCGAGGAAGACGACCAACTGCCATGAGGATCAAATGTCCTAATCAGTGTAAACTATGAATCCCGAGTAATTCCTCTACCGCCGAAGAGTTCCTTTTCCCAAAGACTTTCTGGAGTACTTCAGTATTGCTAATCCAATGTTTCCACTGAACCCCATCAATACTTCGGAGACAACAACTGTGCAGAGGCCAGTCGTCCCTAAAAACCGAACATACTTTCACGAGTGTGTCAGGTGAAGGCTACGGACCAAACGAAGACATGCACTGATTGGTCAGAATGCACACCAATCTGGCTCGAGCGTCGTAAGCTGGACGCTTCTCGCCCCCTCACGAAGATTCCTTGTGGGGTAGTTGTAGTAATTCTCATTTGCCTCCATGAATGGCTGCCTACAGCTACCGTGCTTCCCAATATATCATGGTGTGCGAAGCAGGAAGCCAAGGACCGATACAGAGTCGCACGACCTCTCAGCAAGACATGACCTGTCGTCAAACACTGACATCTTTCGTAAATCCTCTGAGTGTGGAGACTACATCTCCGTCTGTCAGTTTGATTGATTCATGTGTAAGTATTCGTGATGTACAACCTTGCTTACTGGGCTTTTTTCGTGAGCGTTTTTTCTGCTTTCCATCCACAGTGATTTTCGGGAAATCCTGCCTTCGGAGAATCACTGTCCCTTGGTGCTTCCACAGCATGCATACCACAAAAGCATTATGGATTGCACCGATGCAGTGCAAAAATCTATTCTTTTCAGACAGCCTCAAGTCACGTCGACGCCAAAGGTATCGGATGTTGGCGAAAGCTGTCGCGACCTTGTCGATTTCAGAAACGACCTCTTTCCAGGCACTCCACCGTAAATTGTGCATCAGTTCAGATAAGAAAATATACCTTCCACGTCAGTTGTCTCAACTGAAAGCATGAAGTTTGGGTTTGATCGCGCCAAATCTTGTAGCAACAGTTTACACCTTTCAGATGTTTTTTCGACTTCCCCTGTCTGTGGTGGGCCTGCGTGGCAGTATCAAAATCCTCGTACTTTATTCGGGTAACATGGCGGCTAGCATCCAAAAGGGTATTGCAGCTGCACGATTGCTATCTATAGAAGACATTGTAGTCGTATTCTTCGCACTCGATTTTTGGCCGCTGAATCTTGTAATTTTACTCTTCTTTTGGGTCATGTACATAAAAGCGAACAAACGTTGATCCGTGATCGGTTGAAAATGTCCCCCGAGAAGATAATGTCCCATTTGCAGATCGCTTCACGGAGGGAACATGCTTCGTTTTTCTAGCTTGTGACCAACGTTCTAGAGAAAAAGACAAACGGTCACGGATTCACGGACTGATACAGGATCGAGACTATTGCCCGTGTTTCCCGGATGGCTTTTGTTCTTGTCGGTCAGTGGCTGTCGTTCACCTGAAAGGCACAAGTGAAAAAAGGATGAAGCGCCACTTTTTATGTCCTCAGCGCGTGGCAGTATGCTCGCCGGCGCGAGGATTCGCATAAATAAGTGTCTAATACTGCTTTAAACTGGGTTCTAGAAGGGGCGTGAACAACCGTCGGAGGAAGGACATCCCAGATACCTACTACCCGGAATGAGAAAAAGTTTTGTCTAATGAATGTGTATGCACTGAGCTTGAAAATTTTATTACTATGTCCCCGCTGTATGTCCGCTGGTTCAACGGTAAAATATCTGTTTGCAAGCTTTGTTCAAACAGGGCGTAAGTAAGAATTAGGTCCTCTCGGAGGCGACGGTACTCCAGAGGAAAGTGGTCAAGCATCGCGAGACGCGTTTCGTAGTCCACGGATTTGGGGCCGGCAACCATTCTCGTGGCGGCTCGCTGGACACACTCAATGACGGTGACGTCTTTTGTGCATCCTGAGTAGACAACTTGGTCGGCGTATTTCAGGAGCGATCTGACGTAGGCCCCATAGAGTATTTGGAAGTGCATGCGAGTAATAAGGGAGAAGGTGCGTCGGATCATCCGAAAAATGGCGAATGCCTTTTGGGCCGACCTCTCATGGTACAGTGGGAACGACTAGTTTGAGGAGACCCAGATGCCTAAATCCTTTTTGGCATCTATCCTCATGATGTTTT